CCCCCGGGGGGGGGGGGGGGGACCACTGCTCCTCCCATTCGCTCGCCCCTGCTACGGGAATCGCTTTTGAAGTTTCTATTTCTGGTTTTCTAAATTCATCGTTTGACGAGCCATCTGTTAGTTTCACATAACCAATTTCATTGAAGCATAGTCATCTACATTATCATTGGTTTAGGGGCATTTTATGACAAGAGGTCATCTGTGTGATTGATGAGAATGCATTCTGCCACAATAGTTTATAGGTGTAGCAGTCTTTTCCAGTATTATTGTGTCAGTTTACAACCAGAGTCTCCTTGGTCTTTCCACCATCTAGCATTTGTGGCTCATCACACATCACCTTCCTATTCAAGGATCTCACTTCAGAAAGAAGCTTTTCCTTCCCTTCTATAGGACCAAAAGACACCCATGATGACCAATAACTTTCCCCAAGTTTCTATTTCTGGTTTTTTCAATCCATGGTTTGAGGAGCCATCTGTCAGTTTTACATCTCTAGTTTCTTGAAACAAAGTCATCTACATTATCTTTTTTTGGTTTAGGGTCATTTTATGACAAGAGGACATCTACGTGCTTCATGAGAATGCATTTCTGCCACAAGGATTCATAGGTTTAGCATTCTTTTCCAGTATTCTTGTGTTAGATAACCAACATACATGAAGAATTTGAGGCGCAATATATCTTGTATGGTTCTATTTCTAGATTGCATGCATGGTTTCTTCTAGTTTTGCTATTTCTAGATTGGATACATGGTTTCTTCTGTAGTTTTGCTATTTCTAGATTGCATGCATGGTTTCTTCTAGTTTCCAGTTATTGTTGCAATTTACTCTTTAATCCTCCATCTATCAACTGACTGTGTCTGTCTGACTTACTTTGTTTAGCGCCCAATCAAGTTGCTCATGTGAACTGTGGGAATTGCCGTACAACACTGATGTATCCAGCTGGTGCTCCATCAGTTAAATGTGCAGTCTGTCAATACATTACAAATGTTAATGTGAGTATAACAATGTCTGTTTAATTTCATGTAATGATAGCATATCTTAAATATTCTCTCAGCATGTGTGTGTGTGTTTATGCACATGATTGTAGATCCTTTGTTCATCAAATGGATTTGATGGACCATGATACTGATCTTTTCTTCACAAGAGTAAGGGCTTGGTATTTAGGAGAGTGGGTATTGAATCTGTTCTCGAAAGAAAATCCACTCCTCCAGCAAGTCTGAGGACAGGCTGAGGTTTATTGCTACCCTACCCCTGCAAGGAGTTTTGATGTGCTCCTTTTTCTAATTTGATTGGTGACTTCTGGGGATAAAATATTGGGGTTGCCTCCGCTACTGCTTTGCTGAGAGTCAGAGGATGTGGTTCAGAAGGTGAATAAAACTGGTGATGGCAAGGTAACAATAGTAGGACTTATGGATAGTCTTGTTTAGTCTTTGTCCATTTTTCACTACGAAAAATGATATCAGATAAGATAGGGCACAGGATAGTGCATTTTCGTGGAAAATTAGTTGATATTGTGTTATTCTCAGGGATAAAATCTGAGTATGCATTATCATGGAAGCTATATTAATGTCCAGCCCTTGTCTCAGTAGGGTTGACCTTTGATTTCTTTTTGGATGAAGAGAGATGATGCAGCAGCTATAGTTTGGTTACCTATTTTTGAAGCCTAAAAGCAGTTCTATACCCGAGGGCCAAGTCTCATCAGTAAAGTTATTTGCTCTTGAAAAGTGATTGTGGCGATATTAATTGCAATGGATGCTCTTACTAAGCACAGAGTGGAGACCTTATGGTGTCTGGTAGCTTTGGTGATTTAAGTATGGAGAGATTTCACTGAAGGTTTTAAGATAGACAGGAAACAGTTGAATAGATAATGTCTCGTTTAGTGGTATTTGGTTTAAGAATAGTGAAGGTCTTTAGTTTTGGTGGGTAAGTGATAGGAGAAACAAATTAGTTTCATTTGTATAGCTTCACGGCATGGGTAGAGTTTCTAATTGATACAAGTAACAGTCCTAAATCATCACATGGATCAAGTTTGGAAGCTTACATGCTATGATTTCACAAGATTAGTAGAAATAACAAATTTTGTAAGTATCCGCACTTGTTGAATGAAGCTTCTTGTATTTACCATTAGAACACTTTTCAGGCCTAGTACCCACTATAACCTAGTCTCCTTCCTCAGATCAGCATGTGCTTTGTAGCTTTTATTGTTTATTGCAATCTTATGTTGCACACCACCCTATACATCACGTATATGTGGGTCAAAAGCATCAGCTTTAACTCTAGGACGAGCTTCAATGGGTAAGGGAACCAAGTCAATTGGTTTCCTAAGAAGTAAGCATGTCACACTCCAAAAGGGGTTGCGACCCGTAGGCTGAATTACTGAACTATTGTAAGCAAATTTAGCCATAGGAAATACTTGGTCTCAATTAGCAACATGGTACAAAGACATCAAAGAAGACCACCCAAACTTCGGTTAACAAACTCCCTTTTGGTCGTGATTTGAAGATGAAATAAAGCAGAAAATTTGAGCCTTGTATTCAAGCAATTTCCACCGAGTTTGCTAAAAGTAACTAAAATTTTGCATCCCATTCCAAAACAATAGTTTTAGAGAAGAGTCTAGCTATAGCATCGGAAGTCCTCGAACAAGGAACAAAATGAGCAATCTTTAAATATCGATCCACCACAAACAGTGGTAGAGTGATAAACCCGAAGGGTTCCTGGTTGTCATAGTTCATGAGGACTAGGTAATGGATATTTGACAGATTCGACATCGAGGGACAACTTTTGCTACAATGTCATAGACAGTTCTCAAACATTATATTGACCTTATCGCTTCCAAAATGACTTGTTGCTCCTTGGGAATGCAACAAATCAATTGTTCATATAGAGATGTTTTAGGCAAACAAAGATGAGTTCCCTTGGAGAAATTACCGCCATGCAAGGAAAAATCTTGATGTGCTGCATGCTGTGCAACCATGCAATTAGAGTTTATATTATTAAAATCTTTGCAAGATGGGTAAACACTCTTAAGCAAATCAAAGCCCACCACTTGAATAGTCGTTAAGAAAAGAATAAGCACCACATGACTAAATGAACCAGTTGCTTTGTTCTCAACACCAGCATTATGTTTGATTACAAAAGTACGTTCTTGCAAAAAACGGAATCCACTTTCCCTGCTGATGATTCAACTTCTTTTGGGCATTAATATATTTAAGGTCTTCATGGCGAAGTGCCACAGAAACTCCATGTGAATGAGGTAATGATGCCAATAATGCACTGGTTGAACAACCTCCTACAATTCTTTGTTGTAGGCAGAGTACTTGGGCATAAATAACATGTGGTCCCTTGATTTCCATTGCAAATTGCTTCTACGAATGTATGTGGAGATGTTTTTGTTTACCTTCAACATCACATTTTGGCTTTGCTTCCTCATATTTATCTTATTTCATTATTAGACATAAGCTTCAAAACAATCATCTTCTTTTCAAATAGAAAAGTATAGGTGTTTTCTGTTCCACATTGTCTGACATCTTGATTATAGAGCCAAAGTCAGCCGAGAAGGATATGTGCAACTTTCATAGGAATCACAGCATATGATGTAGATCCCACTATATTTACCACAAGAAAAATAAACGAGACATTGGTTAGTTATTGGAATAGACATGTTATCAATCCAAGCTATTTTATATGATTGAGGGTGTAGATCAACCGGAAGCTCGAGACAATCAATAGTGGAAGCTGCCACAACGTTCATGTTGCTCTTGCAATCAATAATAAGCTCTACATCAAAACGACATCTAAAAGCACATCACCAATCTTCTTGCTTCATTTTAGGGGCAGCTAAAATGCATCCCACAAGTTGAAGGAAAGAAGTATCCTCTTTGTATTCCTCCAAATCGGAAGCAGCATATGCTCTACAATTAGATGAATTCTCTTCATTGGCATCATCTTGTGGCTGCTCTTCATCCTTTTTCTGCCACCCCTATATGTTGATTATTCCACTTCAGATATTGGTAAGCCATGTGTGCCGACTCACCACACTTAAAGCAAACATTCCTCTTGTCTCTCTTGTTTAATTTATTAGTTGTCATACCCTCTGCCTTTAGGATCAACCACATTTGGAAAAAAAAAGAAGTTTTCAATCCATTTAATTGATTGAATGGTTGATTAGGTGGTGCTAGGGGCGGAGCCAAAAGTTTTTCACAATGTGGGCAATGTAAAATTCATTAATAAATTAAACTCTTAGTATTATTATTATTTTTTATAAAATATTAATTATTAATACTTTTTATTTGTATGGTTTCAAAGAACGTCAATTGAAAGTGCAATTTATATATCTCACGATGCATAAAAAGAGGCAACAAGAAAAGGGTCACACATATAAAATCTCCGATTATCCTTATAAATATTGTGTAGTTATTTGCACTTGGTCTCCTTCGAATTTCGTTAGAATTTATAATATATTTAATAGACAAAGGCTTGTCAAGTTACTCATAGACTTCATGTGACCTTATTGGAATATATACCCACTTGGGTGTATTTTGAGCTATATTGTAATATTATTATTTTTCAAAATAAAATTATTTTACTTATCAAAAAGAACTGTAAAGTTATCCATGAGATGTAACAAACGACATTTATATCAAATTAAAAAGGTAATAAATTCAATATAATTAAAATAGAACAAAATTAAAAGATTTGAAAAAAAAATCAATGTATCACAAGTTTATTAAGGTTGAACTTAGATATAGGACCAATTTAATTACATACAAATAATTGTTCAAGTCCAATTAAATTGAAATAATTTAATCCCCATGCTTGAAAAATTCCAAATATTGGATTCTAAGTTTAATTTTTTATCTACTTATTTTCTAAAATATTGAAGTACTCCTAAAGTTTTTACAATTTTTTAGTGGGGACAAATTTTAGACAATTTAAAAAAAAAAATTAAAATTTTGAGTTGACTCCAAAATTTTTCAACATCATAGTGAGGGCAACTACCCCCATTGCCCCCACTATGGTATCCCAAGTACTCCATGGCAAGCGCCTCATGGAATTCATGCTCCACACTATTTACCAGCTATTGAAGCAATTGTTGCCTTATATCGGCCATTAGATTTGATTTAACTCAAGCTAGTGTTTGATGAAGGATTCCCACAACTTGACTTTGAGGCTTAAGTTCATCAAACTTTTGCATATATTCTGCTACCGACATGCTGCAGTGTTTCAAATGAACTTATTGCTTGTGTAATTTATCATGAATCATGATAATAGACAGGCATATACCTTTGTTTTCACCTCTTGCCGTGTGCTTATAATAGGTTGGCCCAATCTTCTTTAACTCGGTCCACAAAACTTTTGCCAAACCAGCAAGTTTCACCTTAGTAAATTTTGCTCTTGGGCCACCTTTCATGTCACCTTCCTTCAAAAGTGGGAACTTCTTGACTCTTTTTCCTGCTATCTCTAGCTTTATCATATCTTTCACATTATATCTACTTGAAGAGATCCATGGACCATTCAAAATGGGGTATCAGGTTGCTTCATGACCTCGGGGAGCCCGAAAGGGTCCTCACAATCAAAGATGAGAGACTGAAAATGGTCATTGGAAAACTAGATGCAAAGGATAAGGAACTAAAGAAGATGAAGAAAGAAATGGCCCAAGATAGTGATGATCTGAGGAAGCTCTATGCTTTGGCACAGGAAAGAATTGGTGAAGCTCCAGTTGAGAAGCTCAACTGGAGGCAGCTCCAATTGAGCTCCAGTTGAGAACTGGCAATTGAGAAGCTCCAGTTGGAGGCAGCTCAACTGGAAGTTGAAGCTGCAACTAGTGCACTCCATAAGCTCACTGAAATGATTTGGGAGCTTTTGACAAAGCTAGTTCCAGCATTGAAGCAGATTATGATATTATCACTCTGCATAATGGTGCTGGAACTGGGGTGAGTTCTGTTAACAATGAATGTTTTAGCAAAGTCAGAACAGAAGTTGCCCAGTTTTCAGCTTTAACTGGGCAGCTCGTCGAAGAGGCTGGTATTGTAGCTGTTGTTAACTGAAACAAGGTAATTTTTGAATCTAGTTATCAGATAAAGTAAATATCTAACTGCTATTCTCCATATTTGGTACCTGGCTTGGGAGTATTTGTATCTTATGTTGTTGTGACTCATATGTAAACCCAGGTATGGTATAGTATTGTCTATGTTTGGAGAGGATTTGGCCATTGGTTTGCTTCTTGATCCCTTGATTCTCGTTATTTTTCCATTATTATTGCCTTTGAAATTTTCTTCATGAATAACGAACGTTGTACCACCATTGGTTTGAGTGGTTCGACCTTTTACATCACTTAATCGAATTGAGATGCTCCATAATTCAAAAAAGCATCTCATCTCGCTGCCCATTTGTCAATCTCCCTCTAAACAATTTTTCCGAATGCTTAGACATGTTTGACCTTGATTCTGATACCAAAATTGATGTAGGACAGCAGCGGGTAAACTAAAATCGGTAATGGTGAACAAAACCATGAAAAGGAAAAAGTGTGTATCACGATTTAAAAAGTACTGGGCTTCAAGTTTTGTTAAAGGAAAATGTTGGATTTACTTAATAGAGTTACGTGGGTTTGAAAGAGAGCATAAACAGGATCATTTGGAAATATTTAGATTAGAAAATTACGAAAGAAGAAAGCTTGGAGCCACTTTTGGGTTCCTTAGGTATAACACCTAGGGTTTAAATTACATTACACAATTTGAAAGAACATAGTTGCTAAAAATTCCTAGAAATATGTTTCTATCCTTATTGAAAATAATGCATACCTATATGTTGTTTCAAGTATTGCTTAATCCTAAAAAGATTTGGACTCCAAATTATGTATGGATTACAAAACTTAAGACTAGATATCAAAGTCTGACCTGAAAGACGACCCATAGGCCATGCTAGAACCTTTCCAACAAATTTAGAAACTGCAAAAATGCCCTAACCCAAGACAATATAAGAGGACAAATAAAATACACATGCAAACTAACTCAAAATAACTAAAAATGACACTCAAGTATGTTTATGCAAGCTCCCAATTATACTCAGCATCAACCACCTTGTGCCAAATTAAAGCTTGAACCTTGGAAGCATCTTTTCGATGGCTTCTTCTGAAACCAATCCCAAGGTTTGAGGGCTGTGATCTATTGGAGCGGGGGGATCAATTTTTAAAGCTCGGTTTCAGATACTTTCGCCACAAATCCCAGGACTCTCCTTCATGGAAAATGAGTAGACTGCTACTCGTTTGCTGAGATTCACTTAAAGGTCTGAGCGCATTCTTGTTTGACAATGGACCGTATTCGAGTTCAAGTCTGAACGCATGTTGTTTTGAATCTAAGAATCATTGCCCAACTGCTGATCTTGTTGCACAAGTCTCTACCCTTATTGCTCTCTGGTATCCTGAAGATGTTAGACTTCTTCTTCCATCTTTGCTACCTGAGTTCCCTCTGCCATTCCCAGAGCCAGAGCTGATTGCTCCGATAACCAGGATGTTAAGTAGGTTTCCTCTTTCTAGCTATTTTTGTGATAGTATGAAGAAAGAAAAGTTGATTGACTCACTCTTCAAGGGGAGTCTACCTCCCATATAAAATGAGAGAGATAAAAACATGCTTAACTTTCCATTCATAATCAACATTAAATAGAAGCTAATGCGACAGTCCAATTCTTATGGAACTCCAAATTGTGTGCCAACAATTACTCGGCAAACCATCAAATCTCTTTTAGAGACTGACCCACTTCAACTACTCTTACCCACTTCAACTACTCTTAACATACTTGTCACAAGGTAATGATCCATCGACTTATTTAAGACTTCTAGTTTGCTAACCCATTTGACTGACTGAGACTAACAACTCAATCCAATCCAAGCCCATGTAAACCCATACACATACAGACCCCATCAGCAAACTGGAATAGCGAAGCAGAATAAATTTAGTATACAAGGGAGGGCTCTTTTTCGTGTTGGGCTGAAAATTGTGGGTGTCCTTGCGTGTTAGTGCTTAAGGGAGAGTGACATTAGTGGATGGATGTGATTTTTAGGCACCTGCAGGCACTTTAAATCAGACATTGCCAAATGGTTCTGATCTTTGAATTGTGCTAAAACTTCCCACATCCATTATATGTGACTTCAAAGGGAACAGGAGGCAGAAAAGGAGAAGATATAGATGATATTGACTGAACAAAATATTTTCAGCATTTTGAACAGTTCATTTATTGATCGATATTGATAATTATGTGTTTTTGCCTATAGTGTGCATTATATGTGATGATGGCACTCAGGATTTTGAAAAGTATGCATTTTAAGTTTGAATCACTACTCAAGAGTTCGTGATCGTTTCAAATTAGGCACTGTACTCCATTCTTCTATTATTCTAGGGTTTCCTGTTGACCGCTATCTTTTTCATGTTGTTTCTTGCAGATGGGAAATGCAAGGATACCCACTCCTGTGCCAAGATCTGACAGGACAGCTATGTCTGCATCATCGCCTTCTACAACAGTGAGTCTTTAACTTGTGATTTTTTCACCCAATGCAGTTGTGATAAATTTGATGAGCGATATTTTTTTTGGAACATTGTTGTATCTTATGCAGGCAACGCCCCGTTCCCATACTCAAACTGTTGTCATTCAGAATCCTAGTTCCGTCGATGAAAGTGGCAAAGTGGTAATTTCTTCTTGGAATTTACCTCTATCGCTTTACCTTTTACTTTACTGCGTTATCTTTTTTAAATAAATGATCCTGATCTAATTATGAATTTCATAGGTGAGCAATGTTGTTGTGGGCGTCGCAACATAGAAAATAAATATAATGTGGATGACCGTTCGCTTCGACCAATTGGTGTGGAGATGTTTGCATTTAAAGATTATAGTCGCCATTATTGACAGACGTTGCAGATATAAGTTTTTGGGAGAAACCAAACTGTGTGATGAATGATACTATTGTGAATAGAAGGGGTGATGCTTCTGTCATCTTTGTGACTTCCTTATTGAATATTTTGGACCACATTTATTTTATGTTGGAGTAAATATGCTCTTGAAACGTACAGAATAATTGGCAAATATAACACTGTCTACTTCATTAAATGGTGTATGTAATTATGATTTCTGGCATATAATAGAACAGGTGGTCAACGATTGTATAATAGGTTCATTTCATTTTTTTTGTGGTCTCTGTTGGGGGTTTTTAGTCGGTGGTTCTTTTTTTTTTTTTTGGGAGAGGGGGGTTGGGTTACTAAGGTAGTGTCATTCTTTCTTATCCCATTTTTCTCTAAAATGCGTTTAAGACCCGGAATACCTCCAAACTTTTAATACACACCATATCATCTATCCCAAGGTTTCTCAACCTCTAAGATTCATTTTTGATGTTATTTTGAGTTAAATATATTTAGAAACTTGTCTATCTAGCTTGGTCAAGCTTTGATGCTTTAGAGACTAAATTTGACTCATAGTCAGTGTGCGTAAAACTCAAACTTCATGATCATTCTTTTAACATTGTTTCAAACTTATTATCTTCATTTTATAAGTAATCTTATAGTAATGTTTTTCATCTTTAAATTTTGTGTAGGGTCTTACAATCTAGCCCCCTAAAAGAAAATTTCGTCCTTAGAAACGTAGTCGTCGACCTCGCTTTCCTAATTCCAATGGGTCACGAAGTCTCAATGCCATTTTTTCCTCTAAACATCAAATCTAATATTATATATATTTCCCATATTCAAGATTTTTATATCCATCCCTCCAACTTGTAACCAAATAGATCTTATATGTACATTAGCACTCTACTTTAAGTTGTAGAGATTCTTTTCCCTAAGTCTCATTCTTACTATTACCTCATTTTAGTACCAACGATCCCGTCATTTTTGTACCATCATTGCGGTTTTTAAAAGCCTCCAAGCTTGTCTTCGTCCACTAACATTCATTTACCACATTCATTCTCAATTTTTTGGTTATGTATTACCCACAATAATCCTATGCCATTGTCCGAACTGATTTTTCATCCTGCATAAATACTAGATCAACATCTTAATTATCTATCTACCAAATACCCCCTTTCTTTTGAATTCCCCGGTCTTTTCCCTAACTAGGGAACTCCAAATCATTGTCATCTGTAATAACTTTGATTCTCAACTACATATTCACTACCATTACATGTTCTAGAATCAACTCCTAGATTGCACATCTCTTAACATGGTACGACTCATGACATGGTGTGTCTTAAGTGATGCATGACATAGTTCAACCAAGTTCTATCGGTGAGCCCAATGATACTCATCCTAATGTCATCGATGTGAAACCACAATCTTCTCATGTCAATTTGGCACTTGCAACTAACTTTAACGACATTCCATCCCATTAGAGGATTGTACTACACTTCTATAAACTATTATTTCCATTCCGATAAACAATATCCCCCATAGATTCCAATTTGTACTATCAAATCTTATAGGCAATAATGGTTATAATCATCAAAATAAACACATAGTTATCCAAGAAGTTGATTCTCCCTTTTCAAACTTAAATATTCACCAATCTACAAGTCAAAACTAGCCAGAAGCTAAGAACTCCCAAAGGTTCGAAGGGTTTGTAAAGTTATGTCCGATTCTACAAAAGAATACAATTGAAACTAACTCATACATGTCCTTCGATTTTATCTTTCAAAATGTATACACTAACATTTTACAATGACCAAATGTACCACTTGGGCTAAGGGTCAAATTATATTTTCAAGATATTTGTTTTTAATCCTCAATCTTGTGATCAAATCAATAAACCATACAATCCCCTTCATAACTCACATGCATCCAGTTTCATATTTTTAGTTCAATCTTAATATCTCAACATATTCACTAACCTGATAAACACTAATATTTTCTCTATCTTTCAAGTATTCATTCTCAACTCTATAACTTTGAGTTAGAATCAATAAACCATGTAATCAATCCTTCGTGGTTTTCATTAACCTCTTTATTCTGTTGATACATATAACCTTGAATTTTCCTGATTCAATTCGGTACAAATATATTTCTTGGAATATACTATAAGGTAAAAATATATTGCTAAGGATCCCAATAATATCTCTCAATTTCATACCATCAGATTTATTGTAATATAATCAACACCAAAACAAGACTCTTAATGACTCAACTAATGTTTTTCAAATTAACCATTTTAGTTGTCATAGCCTTAAATAATTGATAATCCCTGAGATAATAATGACCCTCTAGTTATTAGGATTACCTTAGCCTGTTATCCCAAAACTTCGCTTAACATTTTATTTAAAAATCAATCTGCACAGTTATCGACACTGATTCCTTAGATTACATCATTCTAATCATCACAACTAATTGTAATTTTTTTTCAAGTTTATAATCTTCAATATTCATAAAAAAAGATCCTCAACTCCAATCTAAGAAGATCTATCTTAATGAGAGATTAAAGTTAGACAGGAAAAGAACTCCATATTCCCACAACACATTGAGTATCATCTTTGTTCCAACAATGGTCCACTATTCTCGTTCTAGAGCTTTTGAACACGTACAGTCTAGCAAAATGGAGAGTCAAGGATAACTGCCAATAATAAATTTAACTTCCTAAATTTCCTGTCCATATGTCTCTAAGTTTGTATTCATACATCGACCTCAATTCTCAATTAACTTCTGTGGGCACAAGTCAAATATCAACTCCATACTCAATTAAGTGATTCACGATTGGTATTAACTTTAGAAAGTCTAAGAGTAGTGAACTAAGCCCACAATGAAATAAGATTACCTAAGTAGAGTGTCCTCAATGAGTATTCTGCTTATGACATTTGTAAACAATTAATACTTCAAAAATAACCTTGGCCAACTCTTTGTAATATTTTAAAACTAATATTGGTTACCTCAAGTGTGTGGTTATAGAACGATGTCCAATCCTCCTAGAAGCATGACCATATTTCCTGCCCTTATTCCTAGAACTGGCACCTATTTGCGATTATTTCATCATATGCCTCTAATTTATCCTATTTGAACCTTGTACGATCTCATAGTATCTTACTCACCCTAGGTGAAAACATAAACATCCCATGGTTCCCATCACTAAAGGTTGGACACAATATTGAGAATTGACATAACACCAAACCTGAATAACATTCGATCTTGTGATCTATTAAGACACTTGAATTTTCACCGAGGTATCTCTAGATTAAAGCCTAAAAGGTGGTGGAAGCTTGCTTAAGGATAAGTCCTTGAAAGTCTAAGAATAATGACACAACACTTTACTGTCCCAGGAATAACAGGGTGCATTGGCCCACTTTGGAGAATAACCTGATTCAACTCAGGAATTTCTAGCATGTGGGCTATATATGGTTGGAAAGTTATGATTTTAAATTCTAACAAAAAATGGTGCACAATTGGACTTTTGACACTGAGTTTATGGTCCAATTAGTGAGGAGCAAACTACTTGACTGATGATTCTATTATAGCTATTTAATTCGAATTTGGGTGTCATTTGTCACTAATCATATTCCATAACCTTCTCCATTATTGGCAAGACCATTTTCCTAAAGATTCATGCCTAGCATCCTTTACAGTTGGAATTATACAAATCATTCACGGGTTACCTCTTGACGCGCGGAAGTGGATTAAATAAACTTACTTTATGAGCCTTGCTTGTATCCTTGCATCTTGGTGACTTCTTGGACGTATAACGCCCCAAAATTCCCCTTGGACGACATTTCTATTTAAAACCATTCACATCATGAGAGTAACTAACTGAACTTCATAACGAAAGAGAATTTCATTCATCTTCCATAATATATACAACATCATCTAAAAGAATATGCCCAACTATGGCAATTACATTCAAAAAATCAGCTATTATCTTGCAGCGGAATAACGAAAATATTAGACTTCACATTGTCTCAAATGAATTTCCTAGTCTAGAACATAAGGGAATATAGCTCTAAACGTCCATTTTGGGATTCACGTTCCCATCTATTAGAGCTTCCCAATGTACTGGTTCATCAACTCCGAGCTCTTCCTCTAGACCATAATTTGAAAAGAATGTTGTTTGTAGGGGGTGAGCACTAAGCTCTGTAGGAAAATCCTCCAAAACTCGAACAAAGTTTCAAAACATAGAAAATAGTCAGTCTTATTTCACAAATATCATATATAACTTTTGAAATAAAATAGGGACATTTCAACAGATCTCTAGTTTACGCAATAGCAATAATTAAATGAAGAAGTAAAACCAATTTTCAAGCAATAAACCATTCCAACAATAAGCCATTTCAACCATAAACCATTTTCAACAATGAATCATGACCCACCATTTGTAACATTACCCACAATGTATATCAAACCACAATTTGTATCTTTCACAACATTATGTATATATGTATCTCAGGTATAATGTATGACATCGCATGAATAAGCATATCGAGAATATCTTGGCCCACACACACACACCCAATCCTCGCAAGGATATCCAATCTTTAGGAAGGGCGTATACCAATGCATTGGCAGAGACGATCCAACTCAGCAATAATATACTAACCCTCAGCCTCGATAACACATGAGTGAATAGTGATTTAGTTCTCGCAAGACACCAACCCCACTACGAGTGGTAGGGAACCTTAAAATCCACACGGAGTAAGACACGCAAGAGATCATCAACAATACCATTTTATTGTTTAATACCAAACACTAGAGTTTTGAAATCAATAACAAAGGAATATTAAGAGAAAAATCCATTTTTTTTGAAAACTAGGGTTTTCAAGACAAGAAGAAAATATTTCATGGCTATTGAGGTAATTCCAAG